AGCCTCGGCAGCTGGCAGATCCCCGCTGTCCCGCCTCCCGCAGCGGGATGCCGAGGGTCAGGAGCATGAAGGTATTTGGAGAAGGGGCAATGTTGATACCCGCCTGTCCCACTGCCCTTTCCGGACGGTTCGTGGTGCCACTGCTGCCCCAGCAGCACCCAGAGCCTCACCTCTGGGCCTCCCGGTCATCCTTGGGCATGTAGTTTGCCAGGCAGTCCAGGATGAAGATCTGGCCCCACTCGGTGCACTCGTTCAAGGCCGTGAGCAGCTTGTTGATGGACTGGGGGTTGAGGTCCAGGAGGTTACTGCTCGGGTGAGACTCTGCTATTTCCGAGAGCGCCGCTACTGCGTTGGCCACTACCTGCCGGGGGGACAGGGCACATGTTAGGTGACAGCAAGCACTAGGTGATGCCAAATGTGCTTCAACAGCCCAAGGAAAAGCTGGTGCGAGCAGATGAGCTGCATCCTCTCTATCGGCCTTGCATCGCAGCAACATCTGGGCACCAGCTGACACCCAGGAGATGAGCCATCGTTGCCAGCACGGGCCCACCACCCACGCCACATCTCCGACGGCTCACGTGTTCAGCGGGTGTCAGGCTTGGCCCCGTGCCCGGCGTGGGCAAGCCCCCCACTTCCCTTCCCCAGGCAGCTCTGCCGAGCCCCATCACTCCTGCAGCAGCTCCTGGGCTCACCACTGCGCCTGTGGCCATGCCTGCAGAGCAGCAAAGGCTGGGGGATGAGAAACCCTGGGAAAACAGGCTTTAAAGTCACTCCTGCCTGGGGAAAGGCAGGTACACCAATGCTGGCCAAAGCCCAGCTGCCAGGAAACCCTCACCAGCAGCAAGAGGCATCAGCTATGTGGTATCAGAGCCAAGCATCAGTTCCCCTCTGCCACCATCCCCTGCTCCAAGCTGGCCAGGGCAGCCCCTGCCACACCGGGAACTAGCTAAACGCACTGCCATGGAATCGGAGAACTCTTTCAGCCAGAGGGCAGGGTTACAGGACAAGGAAGACGGCCCATGGCCCTCAGAAACAGCCGTCCCCAACGGCGGCCTGCTAAGCACCAGAACGAGGGCGGAGGGGAGCACGGGAGGCCGCACGTGAAGGTGAGGGGGGAGCATTTACTGGCATTTGGATGAAGAGAAGAGAGGATGGAGAAGGCAAAAGGGAATCACCATGGGGTTGGAGTCCGAGATGAGGTCTTTAAGGGTGTCCAGGAAGCCCTGGTCCTCCACCAGCTGGGCATTGATGTCGTGGAGCTTTGCCACGCAGACAGCGGCCGTCTTGCGCACGTAAGGGTCCTCGTCCTTCAGGCACTTCCGCAGGGGCTCACAGAGATACTCCGTTATCTTGTCCACACGGATGCAGCCCATGGTCCGCACAGCTAGAGCCCGGATCAGTGGGTTTGGGTCCTCACAGTCCTGTGGGGATGAGAGAGGGAGATGAGATTTCCAGGGCCTCATCTCCTTGAGCCACAGGAGTCAGTGCTGGTTTGAGACCCCCGTTCTCAGTTGGGTACCTGAAGCCTAGAGGTTTTAACACTCAGCTCTCGAGAACAAGTCACCCAAGGGAGGGGTTTGAGGGGTTCAATCTGGCACCCAGAGTTTTAACATCATCAGTTCTCATCCCAAACACACCTGCAGGAATCCGAGGTCTTTAATGTTTCCAGCAAGTATCTGAAGTCAGCTGCCCCACCTGACCTGGGAAATGCATCTATCGGGGTCATTCTGTGGGTTTTAATCCCTAAAAAGCCAAACCTCACACAAACGCACACCGAGCCTTTTCAAAGTGCTTTGGCAGTATCTTGGCTCCTAACAAAGAGGCTCTTCAGTTCCCAGCTGGAAGATCACGAGGGCTCTCTCAGCTGCAGAGGCTTCAGCGCGTAAGCTCACATGACAGCAGCTCCATCACGGGAGCTGCCCACAGCTGAAGCTGCCACTGACAGAGCAAGTCCGTTGCCTGACAGTTGCCAAGAAAGTGTTTTTCTGCAGTGCTGGATGAGTTTGCTCCGTTTTCTAGCACTGGGGCAGCCCCTGCTCCCAATGGGAGAGGCTGTGGAAACCTGCTCGAGCCCCTTGCTTTGGAGCAGGGTAAGCAGCAGCGCGGTGATCTCGTGTGACAGCAGGGCCGTACGTGGTGGGCTGGACCAACGCCCCACAGCGCGGCTCTCGGGCACGCAGCCCTCTCCTCTCACCTTCACGAAGGTGTTGACTGCCATGATGGCCATGTCTGGCTGGCTCTTGGCGTAGTTCATCAGGTAGAGGTAGACCAGCTTCTTCAGCTCCAGGTTGTCGGTCTGCATGCAGTTGACCACATCCGGGAAGAGCGCGCTGCAACACAAAGTGCCTCCGTGAAGGTGGGATACGGCCACGCTGCTGAGACCAGGGAAGGAGACACCACTGCCTACGGGACCCCACGCTTCCCCAGGAGCATGGCCATCCCCTTCCCAGGGCTCAACCCGCTCCTGAAGCCAAAAGATCCCATGCTCTCCCCTGACCTGAGCCCACCTGCAGCTGGAGCAGCGAAATCACCCATCCCCAGTAGGTTTTTCTTTATGGATCTGTCTCAAGAGCAGCTCAAAACGGCTCCTAATGGACCAAAATTGAGCTCTGCCACACGGCTCTGCCGTGTCCCAGCTCCAGGACATGCCCACTGCCCCGGAGAAGGTGTAACATCACACAGCCAGCACAGGATGGTGCGAAAGCCTCCGGCACCTGTGAGCGGATGCCGGAGATGAGCCGTTCCCCCTCACCTTCTGCACAACCCCACCAAAACCATCCTCTGCTTCTGCAGACATGAAACCCGTCCTGCTGCGAACGGCTGAGCGCTGGCCCCACAGCCTGCACCAGAGACATCACGTCAGAGGAGGAAACACCCAGGACTGGCTGTAAGCAACAGCCCCAGGCGAGCCCTGCAGCAGAGGGACACTCTGCTAGGACAGAGCGGAGCTGCCTGCGTGGAGGAGGGGGCTTCCCCTTCCCAAACCTGATCCCGGTGACTACTAAACGCTGTAAAGCTGTGGGATGCTGTTTCACCACAGATGACAGACAGCCCAATTAGACTATTAAACCACCTTAGGAGAGGCAATCAAAGTCAGAGGGCTAACGCAGGAGTTATATCCCCTGACAGATGTCCCTTGGCTCCTGGAAGCTTCTCCCCCACCACAAACCCAACCATTGCTTACAGGATCAAACCCAGCCCCCCCGAGCCTGGGGTACAGCACCTCGCTAGCTCTCCCACAGAGCTCCAGGCTTTCCTGGCACCTCCCAGGGTGGGGTGAGCTCTAAACTGCTTTTCTGCAGCCTAAAATACGCACACACCAAAAAAAAACGGGCTGCCACAGGCGGTATTTCCTTTCCAATCGATGTAGTTTCTGTCAAGTGCTGATCAGGCTCAGCAAGTCCCTGCCACGTCCTGTGTCCCCTCCTCCACGGCGGCCCCAGGACAGAGCGCTACTGGCTTCTGGGAGCCAGGGACACGCCGGTTCACCCAACACAGAGCCCAGACCGTGGTTTTCCTCCCTGTACTCTCAAATGCCCCATCAAAAGCAAAGCACTGATGTTGTGTGTGACGCCAAGGGTGGGCGGGGATGGAGGGGCTGCATGCTGCTCGGTCAGACGGACACAGGAGAAGGAAAAGCACCTGCCTGACCCTTCGGACTGGAAAGGCTGCAAAAGGCTTATCGCCACCACCCCTCTGCCATAAAGGCTCAGAGGGGGTTTCTGCTTTTTTTTAGAAACCCTTGAAGGAAGCATCAGTAATCCCAACCAACTTATCAGCCGGCCAGACCAATCCTCTTTCAGCCAGCTTACCGCCAAAGCCAGACGGCCACGTTACACAAACGTTCCCTCCCGTAGCAGGAGGTGTAGCTGCGGCCTGGAGCTCGCTCGGTCCTCCCTGAGACAAAAGCCAGCACCAACACTCCTCGGAGGCAACGGGGGAAACGAGGAGCCCACGAGGCACCTGGACATCCCCGGCACAGCACCCTCACGCACCTGACGTCTTTGCCGACGGTCATGGATGCTATCACCTTCTTCACGGCCTCCTTCTTCTTCTCCTTCTTGTCACTGTTCAGCTCCGCTTTCAGCTCAAATATCTCCCCTGGAGGAAAGGGAAAAGGGGGAGCTCAGCGGATGGGGCACCCACACGCTGCTCCCAGGGGAGGGGAAGCCCAGCTCCCACCCACTGTGTGCTGGGGCTCCAGGGGTGCTCCGAGGTGCCAGGAGCTGGAAATGGGGATCTTGCTTCCCAGGTATCTCACCAAGGGCCAGGGCTGCTCTGGGGGCCCAGCTCTTGTCCAGAGAAATAGATACAGGCTTGCTAGTGCATCCTTGCACTCCCCCCGCCCCCCAAAAGTCCCAGAGGGCTTTAAGAACCAGCGACACTGCAGGAGGGACAAGTACCAGCACCCCAAGCACAGGACACGGGGTCTATTCAGCAGGTATTTATGGCTGCGGGGCGGTTACCACAGCACACAGCCAAGTCCCAGCCCCGCACACAGCTGTCGGGATGTCCTCTTCTACCTGGGGAGTCCCCACAGCCCAGATGACAACAGGCAGATCTGGGGAACTGCTCCTCGACCCACGCAAGGGGTGGTGGCTCCCAAATCCCGCCCTGCATGTGGCAGAAACCCCCCAGCCCAGCACCATGGTGGGGTGCCCAGGATCTCCAGACCCCACTGAAGGGCATCAGCTCCCATGCCAAGCTCTTTATTCACTCCAAGGTATCTTCCCCTTCAATCTGCCATGTGGTTTTTCCACTCTATTAATTCCTTGGTCTGGAAAGTGCTTAAGTCAAACACCCTGAGTGCTTCTGTCCCAGCCCAGGGGGGCTCAGGGCAGGGGCCTGTCCCCCCACAGGCAATCCTTAAGCTGCTAAAGCCAATAACCCAGCAGCCCGAGCCACGTCTTGGCTCAGGGGGCTGGTGACAAGATGCTCTGATCCCACAGCAGCCCAGGAGCCACCCAGAGGCAACAGGTCAGCCACAGCATCCCACCTGGGCTCAGGGCATTCCCATGAGAGCTGGCACCTCTGGAGCTTCCCATGGCAGGGATAGCCCCCCCCGCCTGGCTTACACAGGTGTAAGAGCAGGAAAAACTGTGTGGCCATCCCGCTCGCTCTTACCTTTCTTTGTGGTGGTGAAGTACTTGGAGTCCGTCATGGTGGTCTCCAGCCAGCTGCACGCCCCTGGGAGGAGAGGCAGACCAGAGAGGTTGGGGTTGGTAATTTCCTTGC